CAGGCTGGGCTCAGAAGAGAGTCATGCAGCTCCACTCCATGCCTTGAAATCATTCTGGGTACCCGTGGAATTTGTACAATTTTAGGAGCACGTCTGGAGCCTGTGAACAAGTCCAGATGTTGTGTGAAGTTAGCTGCAATAAGAACAAACTCTTTAGGGACCTCCCTGGTAATACAACGGGTTAAAGCACAACACTGCGGGGCTACCCACAACCTCTACAACACGAGTTCAATCCCCGGTCAGGGAACTGACCCACATGGCCCAGCAGACCTCTCTTGTCTTGCTGCTCCCCTCAGCAGTGAATTTCAATCTGCCTGCTCTGCTCCCCGCTCTGTCTCTGGTGGAGCCCCTCACCTCTGTGCCTTTGGCCTGCACCCCTGTACTTGTATGCATAAATTAATGGATCTTTAAAAAAAAAAGAACAACCTCTTTAGACACCCACCTCCTTCATCTCCACTCCTCATTCTCAATTGTCCACCCAATTCAGCGTGTGCTTATGAAACAAAACCTTACAGAGATGTCCACTGAATGACACATGGGGGTTAGAAAACTTGGGCAGTGAGCCCCTGCCCGGCACCCTGGCCAGGATCTCCGATCACCCCGTTCTTGGGTTGTGTTAGACATGAAGTGGGGACTCTACTACCGTGGCTGGGCTCATCTTTCTCCTGTTTTGCTTCTTTCTTGCCCTGGAGAGTAACGACTGGCTCATTTGTAGATACATGAATCAATGTTTGCCACTGAACAAAGATTCCTCAAAAGTAAGCTATTTCAAAAGTTTTAAGAGAAAGTGTTTATATAAAAGGTCCTGGCAGACCTGGTTTAAGTCTTTAAAGCATTTACTTCTCTTTCTATTTAACCTGGGAGGTCCCCAAGATGTGATTTTGTGGTAGAACAAGGTGTGATTTTATAGGAAAGCCCTTGTATCTATTCTTAGCCTCCTTCTATAAATTTAGAAATACAATCACATGTGAGAAGTGGTAGTAATTTTAGAATTTTGTGTTGTTTGAGGAAAACCAAAACCATCTAGTTGGTAATTTTGAAACATAATGAGCTTGGCTTTTCCATCAGTGGAAATATACCCTAGGGCCTTACTTTTGGGTGGTCATACAGGCAACTCAAGAATATCTTACATTGTTGGAAACTGTGACCAGGACTCACAAGATAAGGGAGGGTAGAGTTGATACAGCTCTCAGAGGGTGTATTAGGAAGGCATTCTATGGTCTGCCAGCTCAATGTGTTAGATAGTAAATAGAGAGCTGCTGCTTTCTTATAGCGGCTATTCTTCAAAACACTAAAGCAGTAAGGTGAAGAAAACAAAACTTACGAATAGCATCCATTTCAAGTATTGCTTGCTTGGCCTGAAAGAAAGAAAGTGTAACTATAATTACAATGACCATTTTTCTTTAAATAACCAACCCTAACATGAGCTTTATTCCACTTGAGTAGGTGGGTTTTTAGAAACTGATAAAACAAAACAAAAACCAAAACCTGAATATTTCAGGCTAACATGTAACTCAAGGGCTCCAGATAGATGAGCGCCCTCGTGTGGGGAGAAGATGTTGTACAATTACACACCAGAACTAAACTTAATAGGTACCAGTGGAAGAGAAGTGGGAGGGAAAGAAAAGGAAACTCTTTTTATAATACTTCTATTTCTATGATACAGAAGAATATCCTATCACTATCTGGAGTTACTTTTCAACATAAAAGTTGGCTCAATTTCTGTGAAACGCATTCATGGAACCATGGTGATATCTAACATACAATCTACCTTTATTCTCTCTTAATGTGGGTGAGAATGAGTTTATCGCTCATGTGCAGGACAGACGCAAACCCAGGTCTGTTTGACTCCTAAGAGCATCACCACCAATATGGCGATTTCCCAGGAGTTCCCTGGTATCTAGAAACCTGACTTCAAGAATTCAGAATTTCCTATCTATTCTTGTAACATTTAATTTTTCAAAAGTACTGCTTTTACAGTTACCACCAGGGGTCAGTCTGGGACCATCACTGAAGTAAAACACTGGAGCAGGGGAGCTGACCCGGCCTAAGTCAATCTATTTCCAGCAGTCCTCATGTGCACATGTGGAAGAGTGAAAATGTAGCACCGCCCCCTTGCACACACACACAAAACTAAAAAAATTGTCAATTGTCAAAAGTGTGATACATTTTTGGATGCTTGTAATTTCCTTGATGCATTTCTTTAATAGGAAAAAAATATTTGAAAGCTTTAGGAAACTGAAGAAATAGTTTTGAGGAAAAACGTGAAAAGTTCAGCTTAGCAATCCTGCTTAAATAACAGCAAATTATTGTAACCTTATAGTGGATAAAGTGTATTAAAAGAGTATGTTTTATTGTCTCTGGGGGGGCTAAGTGATTACAGTGGTCTTGGGAGTCACCAGACCTGATGTTTAAAGTTCCTGAAACTCTGTTTTTATTCCTCTAGAAAAGAAAGAACAAAACTTATTTGATAAGGTTTTTTGTTTTGCTGAGGGTGATAGAAGAATATAAAGTCCTTAGCACAGTTTATGTGTATGTTCAAGAAGCCTGAAGTTGAAAAAATTTTAGATTCTTAAAGGATCAGGAATTTGGGCAAAAAAAAAGGTACAATTTTGCTGTGACCAGTTTTAACCACTGTCATACATAAAGGTAAACACTGCCTGGAATACACCCACTCAGCATGGGAGGAGGACAGGTGTGTCAGCTGGTTGCATTCTGCAATGGATGGAGTTGCCTTTGCAGCTTTGGTTTCGCCAGGAGACAGGTAAACAATAGGTGGGGTAGATCAGGGATGCGTTGCCATTGCTCAGAAGGACATTCCGAGGCACAAGGCCAATGGCCAAATGACAAACAGTAGAGCAAACACGATCACCTTTCTGCCGTTGTGACCTGACAGCTCCTATCCCTGACAGAATGGGTCCCGGCCTAAGTCAAAGCACACACCTAGGAACAGCCACTCACTGAGTAGAGCATCAGAGCTGAAGCGTGCTTGCAGTGCCTTACAGAAAATAGACAAGGACCAAAACGGACTCTTTCCTTTCTTGGAAATCCCAGGCCTCTTTTCCACCCAGCTGCACACTCATTCATGGCCCACATCCCTCTTTTCTGCACCTCTTGCTCCTCCTCACTCCAACGTGGATCATTTTGCCATCCAGGTAGACAATCTGTTTTCCAGCTCACCTAGGTTTCTTACTACGGTACTCTGATACCTTTTCCTCCACTCCAGAACAATCACACATAATCACAGCCTCATCATCACCCCAAACTGCCAGATCTTTAAGACAGAAGCTCAGAACTTCAGCTCCAGATCTCTGTAGCTCTCTCCACCCTACCTCCTGGGGACCCTTACCGACCTGGTAAGACCAGCAGCACTTTTGTCTGCGTCCATTTCCCCAGCTGGCTTCACTCTCTACCCGTGGAGATCAGGTTCCATCGCCGCAACCCAACTGTGTGCTGACGGGCACCCCCTCTCTCGCCCTGTCACCCCCCCCCATCTCTGCCAATCCCCAACCCTGGGAGTCAGGGAACACCAAGGCTCCCCAACATTAGCTTCCAAGCCTCCTAAGTGGATTAAAAAAAAAAACCAGTCCATCACGCTGATTCTTCGTGGCCGTGTCGTCTGGGCCTTGCCTTCGCCCAATGATTTTACTCACGCCTACTCACTCACTAGTCCATTTTCTTTAGCAACTGAAGTTTTCCTCTTTCTCCCAAGCCCGAAACCCATCCCAGCTTCATTCACCCAACAGATGACATCATCTCCAACTCTGGTTTGGTCAAACCCTTTATCTTCCCTCAATCCACTCAGCACTTCCTGGTCTTCCACCTTTCTTCTCCCAGCTTACTTTAGGTTTATCAAAACCCTTTCCAGGACTAACTCCTGTATGCGTGTTTCCGGTGCACCCAGGGACGTCACGAGTAGTGCCCGGCCTCAGAAGCCACTATTTCCTGTTTCCCTCGCTCTTCCCCTCAATCTTCTTAGGCCTCAGATGATCTTCACCTACACAATGCATCTTCCTTTGACCTTGCTGCTGTTCAAACTACCACCTTTCGTCACTTCAAAACTCCGTAGGGAAAAAAAAAAAAAAAAGAGGTCCTCCATATTAAGGACCAGGGAAGAAAAATAATAACAACGAACAGCTATAGACCAGAGACATTTTACGGGGGTAAATGGATAAAAAAAGGGGGTGGGGGGGGAGGGAAGTGCACTGGACTATGGTGATGGCACACGGGTGGGTGATTTGGTGATGGGAAGCCCCCCGGGATTACAGCTGAGATGGGAAAAGGCACAAAATGATGTAAAAATAAACTGTGATATTATTTTTTAAAAAAAGAACATCAGTTAACAACTATAAACCAGAGGCATTCTATGGGGGAGGAGAGGGGAACAAGATCAAAACTGGGGTGGTAAGAGCACATGGGACTATGGTGATGGCACAGGGGTGAAGTGGTGGTGGGAAGTCCACGGGGGTGACAACTGAGATGGAAAATGTACAAAATGAAGAATGATGTAAATATATATGTGTGTGTATATATATATATGTGTGTGTGTGTGTGTGTGTGTGTGTGTGAGAGAGAGAGAGGCCCTCCCTGGTGGCTCAGCAGGTTAAAGCACAGCACTAAGAAGCTAAAGTCACTTCAGCATGAGCTGAGCTCAGCCCCAGAGGACCTCTCCTGACCCACCCGCTGCTCCCTCAGCTGTGAACTTCATCAGTCGGCCTGTTCTGCTCCCCACTCTGTATGCATAAATAAATGAATCTTAACAAAAAAAAAAAAAA